CTGAATACATTCTCTTGCCTGCTCATGTTATAAGGCTAGATTCACATTTGAACGGTTCGTGGTTCCTCCCCATTTCGGTTATCAGGCATACTCAAAACTTTGTGAAAAATGACCGATTTTTTGGTGTTACCATCGGATTACAGAACGAATGATGTTTTCGATTGAAAAATCATTCGGAATTCGACCCATGTATGGCCTGCTTTAAATTGGCCATACATGGGTCAAAATCTGAAATAATTTTCTTTTGAAAATTTTTCTAAGACTTTTCGTTCAAATTTCACACCATTAGTGGGCCACAGCAACAGCCGATTTTCGAGACCATCAAATTCGAGTGATAGGGCATGCTGGAAATTTTTTGAAAAACGAACAACTTTCTAATCAATGGCAGAATCGTGTGAGAAATGTAATCAAAAAAGAAATAAGCATGAGCTGTGACCTGGAAAGTAAAGAAAATTCTTGGCCACGAAAATTATTTTCTGTAGCAACAGAGGTGAAATTAAAGGCTTGGTTGTTCGAATTTCAAAATGGTGGCGCCATCTCATTACCAAACGTACAAAATTTCAGATTTTCTAAAGAAAATGCGTTCAAAATTCGACCCATGTATGGCCCTCATAGTGTGTGTTATGCAGGCCATACATGGGTCGAATTCTGAACGCATTTTCTTTAGAAAATCTGAAATTTTATGCATTGCCCCACTGCACCTGCACAAATTTGAAGCTAGCCTAAAGTTTCTCTTCAGGTAAATAAATCTATTTTACCAAATCCCCTAGACAGAAACAAGCATTTAACTCTTGTAGTGCAGATGTCAGTACAGAACAAACAGGGTTAAGTTTTCGTAAATGTAACTCCCCTCAATCCCCTCCTTAACATTAGAAGGGGAAAGCTAGGTAGTATTTTTTAGCGAGTAAAACGGTAAGTGGCATTTTAAACATATTTTATTATGCCTTGTGAATGGAAACATGTAATAAGTATATAGTAGGTGTTATTCAAATTTAGCAGCAAAGGTGGAAATATGGTTGAGGCTCCATGCACATTGGGTGTTTTAATAACGCTGGTAACGTTAGCTGTGTAAAGTCACATTAAAAACGTGAGTTTTTCAGCCTTTTTAGTGGTTTGCTGCATTTTGCCGCGTTTTTCCACGTTTGCATTTTTTAGCATTTTTTTGACCAAAGAAAATTTTTTTTTTGGTCAAAAAAGTCCAAAAGCACTGGTTTTGTGGCGTTTTTACAGCGTTTTACTACATTTTACTGTGTTTTTCAGCATTTACAGCTAAAAAAACTCCTCTAGAAACATACTAGTTCTGTTTTTTTTTACAGTCTAAGTGTGCATGGACACATAGGATAACATGCTGGGGGGTTTAATAGCTGTAGAAATAAACGCCAAAAGCCAAAAGCATCCGCTGTAAAAACATCCAGTGTGCATGAGGACTTATGCACGCCATACATGGTTCGAATTCCAACAATTTTTCATCCGAAAATTGAAACGTCGTTCGTTCTGTAATCCGATGGTGCCACCAATGATTTTGAAAATCGGTATTTTATCATGAGTTTTCCAGCATGCCTGATAAACGAAATGGGGAAGAACCACGAAATTCGGCCAATGCCATTGCCCCACTAATGCAGGCCATAGACGGTTTGTTTATCGGCCGAATTTTTGGCCGATAAACGAAACATCGGTCGTTCTATTGCCACCAATGATTACGAAAATCGTCCGTTCTTTGTAAATTTTCCAGCATGACCGATAAAAGAAATGAGGAGGAACCGCAGAAATGGGCCGATGACATTGCCCCACTAACGGTGCGAATATCGGCCAATTTTTCTTTTGGGCGATAATTCGGCCGATAAACGAACGATCTATGGCCTGCATAACAGCGAAAATCGTCCGATTATTCTTGGGTCCGATTTTCGTACGAAAATCGTTCAGAATTCGAACCATGTATGGCCTGCTTTAGTTTGTTCCCTGCAGAGGTTGTACTAACTTTTTTACTTAAAGCTAGGTTCACATCTATGCAGTTTGCATTTGATCCGTTTCTGCATTGCGTTTTTGCATTTACGTTTTTGACGTGTTTTGCTGCGTTTTGCAGGGGTTTTTTTCTTGTTGTTAGGCAGATTTAAAAAGCAAAATGCATAAAAAATGCGGCAAATACGCACTACACGCTTTTCTGCAGCGTTTCCATTGAAGTCTATAGAACCAAAAACGCATCTTTTGGCGTTCAAAAAAGTCCATGACCCTTTTCAAAAAACGCTCGTGAAAACGCTGAGATGTTTCTGCAAAATGTAGCGGAAAACGCTTAGGTGTGAACCTGGGGTTAGCAAGTCAACATTTGTCCTGAGGAGCCAGACCTTTTGCACACAGTTGTAAATAGTTGAAGAGTAAATGTAGTAGATTCAGACTGGAGTACAGGCAGAGATTTGTGTATAGAAAGACGTCAGAATAAACTGTAATTGGACCTCCTCAGTGTGCAGGCTGCTGTGTGAGGCTGACTTTTGTATATTTAGAGAAAGCTGCCTTGGGATCAAATTCTGCTTGCTTGTAGCACTGGCGTCTAGGTCCTCCTACCCGGCCCAGCTGTTTCCTGTTTCTATCTTGGCCATAAAACCCCTAGCTTTTGTCCAAGTTTCAGTGAACTACTGAACGGGACTGAAGCGGACTTTACAGAAACACTTTTGGATGGAGAATTAACCAGCGGCAGTCAAATCTCTCACCACAGACCATAGCATGTGAAAAGTTTCCGCTTTCAGCTACGCGGACCTTAGTCGCTACTATTTATTTCCAACTGCTTTTCCAGTCAATGGCAGCGGACAAGTCAGAAAATGATTCAACATATTTGTATTTCATGTGGAATGTTCTAAAATGTGCTAACATTCTGTCTGGGTTTGAACTGCTTAGCATAGACTAAAGCTGGTTGTACACGTTGAAAGAAAACAAAAACCAACAGATTGCTCCAACCACACATACAAGATAGATAGAGGAATCCCCCCCCCCCTTGTCAGGCTGGCGCTCCTGGCTCCTTTCCCTACCGAGTGCACCCATAGCATGCCACCTGCTATGGGGGCACTCGTGCGGACCGTTACCTACTTCTATAGACACAGACAGCACAGTTCGGTCTCGGGCCCTGCCTAGGGTTGCCACCTCATCTCTTTAAAACCGAACACATTAATTACAAAGGCTCTGTGGCTGACTAAGGTGGTAAATAAACGTATCTAGTGCCTTATCTGCATTTTAAATTAGCCCCAGAACCTGTGTAATTCATATGTGTTCAGTTTTAAACGGATGAGGTAGCGACTCTACCCCTGCTGCCTCAACAAAGCTTGTGAGACCAGAAAGTGAGGGCAGAGGTGCAGACGGGATCGAATGAGGTAAGTATAGAGGGGTGAAGGGGGATACTACTACCTAAAATTTTTTACTTTAACATGAGGAATGCATTAAGGTAAAACATGTTTAGGCTTTATAACAACTTTAAGGCTTGGTTCACATCTGTGCGGGTGGTGCCGCTGAGGATCCGCACGAAAATTCATGCAGCCGCACCACCCGCACAGAGGAATGCAGACCCGCGAGTGGGTGTCATTAGTTCTAATGGCACGCCACCCGCACTGGAAAACACAACTGTACTGGGAACCGAGGTTCCCGTGCGGACTGCGTTTTCTAAAGGAGTGCGCAAACTTGTTCCCTGCGTGCCACAGGGCACAGGACTCCATTCAAATGAATGAGCTCTCGTGCCCGCATAAAACACGGCCAACACGGCTGCATATATGTGAACCAGGGCTAAGTGTGGTTATATCTACCCAATATACACTAAAAGTGTTAGCAATGAATTACAAAATATAGCAGGCTAGTGCAATGGGAATGGCATGACGTGGTTATGTTATACAAGCATTTTAGATGCAAACTTAATGGAGTTTAAATCCCATTGTATGTACACTATATTGCCAAAAGTATTGGGACGCCTGCCTTTACACGCACATGAACTTTAATGGCATCCCAGTCTTAGTCCGTAGGGTTCTATATTGAGTTGGCCCACCCTTTTCAGCTGTAACAGCTTCAACTCTTCTGGGAAGGTTGTCCACAAGGTTTAGGAGTGTGTCTATGGGAATGTTTGACCTTTCTTCCAGAAGGGCATTTGTGAGGTCAGGCACTGATGTCGGACGAGAAGGCCTGGCTCACAGTCTCCACTCTAATTCACCCCAAATGTGTTCTATCGGATTGAGGTCAGGACTCTGTGCAGGCTAGTCAAGTTCCTCCACCCCAAACTCACTCCTCCATGTCTTTATGGACCTTGCTTTGTACACTGGTGCGCAGTCACGTAGGAATAGGAATGGGCCATCCCCAAACTGTTCCCACAAAGTTGGGAGCATGAAATTGTCCAAAATGTCTTGGTATGCTGACACCTTAAGAGTTCCCTTCACTGGAACTAAGGGGCCAAGCCCAACCCCTGAAAAACAACCCCACACCATAATCCCCCCTCCGCCAAACTTTACACTTGGCACAGTGCAATCAGGCAAGTTCCGTTCTCCTGGAAACTGCCAAACCCAGACACATCCATCAGATTGCCAGACAGAGAAGCATGATTCGTCATTTTAGAGAACATGTCTCCACTGATGTAAGGCTTGGATGCAGCTGCTCTGCCATGGAATTCCATGAAGCTCTCTAAGCACTGTTATGCTAATTTAAAGACCACACGAACTGTGGAAGTCTTTAGCTATTGACTCTGCAGACAGTTGGCGACTTCTGCACCCTGTGCACTTCAGCATGTACTGACTCCGCTCTGTCATTTTACGTGACCTACCACTTCGTGGCTGAGCTGCTGCTGTCCCCAGTTGCTTCCACTTTATTATAATACCACTAACAGTTGACCGTGCAATATTTAGTTGCTAGGAAATTTTACAGATGGACTTATTGCACAGGTGGCAACCTATCACAGTACCACATTCGAATTCATCAAGCTCTTGAGAGCATCCCATTCTTTCACAAATGTTTGTAGAAGCAGTCTGGATGCCTAGGTGCTTGATTTTATACACCTGTGGCCATGGAGGTGATTGGAACACCTGAATCCAATGATTTGGAGGGATGTCCCAATACTCTTGGCAATATACTATATGTATATATCCATTCAATACCTATTCAATATGCAGGTAGTGTCCTGGCCAAGACTTGAGCTAAGGACCCCAATGCTTAACACTAAGCCACTGTGCCACCCCATGGAAGCCTATAGAGAATGTTATTCTAATTGGTCTTGCTCGAGAAATACGGTAGCTTACAATGTAATATACCTATAGCAGCAATGCAAACACAATCTTGAAATCCAATTAGGCAGAAGCTGATTTGTTTGTTGTTACAGTTACCCCTGGTTCACATTTGAATGGACTCCCGTGCCCCAGGACACACAGGGAAGAAGTCCCTGCACTTCGTCTGAAAATGCAGCCCGCACGGGAACCTTGGTTCCCAGTACGGTTGCGATTTCCAGTGTGGGCGGTGTGCCATTAGAATTAATGGCACCCACCTGAGGGTCCGCATTCTTCTATGTGGGTGGTGCGGCTGCATGGATTTTTGTGCGGATCCGCAGTGGCACCACCCGTACATATGTGAACCTAGCCGTAAGCATGCAAAGACAGAGAGAATGCACTATCTACAAGAAACGTGTGTCTTGGCTGGACAAAAAGTCAAGGTCTTGACATTGCTAACCAGCATGCTAACCACTAAACCACATTTATTTTCCAGCTAGAGTTGGCCTCACAAAACTGAGAAAGCAGCAACTCATCAACCAGGCCAAAGGACTCTGGAGAACTTCAGAAGCTTAATTTTTATTTTCTGCTAAATTGACAAAAAAGGCTGAAAAGTTTGAATAAAAAACATGTTTTACTTTGTTTCTGTTATAAAAGTTTGCAAATAAATAATTGTTCTTCATAAATTTAGGCCAAGATGTATTCTGCTACATGTCTTTGGTGAAAGTAACCCAAATTAGGATGTATTATTTAGTTTGTAGGAAAGTTATAGAGTTCACAAACTATAGGATATATCTGAAAATTGATCAATCCTGAAGTACTGACGGCCAATCAAATTTCTTAAGGTCCAAGAATGTCAGAACAGTAAGATATCCCCTGTGTTACACTTATTACTAAGCATGCATAAAAAAGTCTGATGCTAGATCCACTAAAAAAGTTGATTTTGAAAAATATAGAAACAAAATAGAAAAAGGACATACAGGTGAAACTCGAAAAATTAGAATATCGTGCAAAAGTTAATTTATTTCAGTAATGCAACTTAAAAGGTGAAACTAATATATGAGATAGACTCATTACAAGCAAAGCAAGACAGTTCAAGCCGTGATTAGTCATAATTGTGATGATTATGGTTTGCAGCTCATGAAAACCCCAAATCCACAATCTCAGAAAATTAGAATATTGTGAAAAGGTGCAATATTCTAGGCTCAAAGTGTCGCACTCTAATCAGCTAATTAAGCCATAACACCTGCAAAGGGTTCCTGAGCCTTTAAATGGTCTCTCAGTCTGGTTCAGTAGGAATCACAATCATGGGAAAGACTGCTGACCTGACAGTTGTGCAGAAAACCATCACTGACACCCTCCATAAGGAGGGAAAGCCTCAAAAGGTAATTGCAAAAGAAGTTGGATGTTCCCAAAGTGCTGTATCAAAGCACATTAATAGAAAGTTATGTGGAAGGGAAAAGTGTGGATGGAAAAGGTGCATAAGCATCAAGGATGACTGCAGTCTGGAGAGGATTGTCAGGAAAAGGCCATTCAAAAGTGTTGGGGATTTTCACAAGGAGTGGACTGAGGCTGGAGTCAGCGCATCAAGAGCCACCACACACAGACGGATCCTGGACATGGGCTTCAAATGTTGTATTCTTCTTGTCAAGCCACTCCTGAACAACAAACAATGTCAGAAGCGTCTTACCTGGACTAAAGAAAAACAGACCTGGTCTGTTGCTCAGTGGTCCAAAGTCCTCTTTTCTGATGAGAGCAACTTTTGCATCTCATTTGGAAACCAAGGACCCAGAGTATGGAGGAAGAATGGAGAGGCACACACTGCAAGATGCTTGAAGTCCAGTGTGAAGTTTCCACAGTCTGTGTTTATTTGGGGAGCCATGTCATCTGCTGGTGTTGGTCCACTGTGCTTCATTAAGTCCAGGGTCAACGCAGCCGTCTACCAGAAGATTTTGGAGCACTCCATGCTTCCTTCCACAGACGAGCTTTATGGGGATGCTGACTTAATTTTCCAGCAGGACTTGGCACCTGCCCACACTGCCAAAAGCACCAAAACCTGGTTCAATTAACGTGGGATTACTGTGCTTGATTGGCCAGCAAACTCGCCTGACCTGAACCCCATAGAGAATCTATGGGGCATTGCCAAGAGAAAGATGAGAGACACGAGACCAAACAATGCAGAAGAGCTGAAGCCGCTATTGAAGCATCCTGGTCTTCCATAACACCTCAGCAGTGCCACAGACTGATAGCTTCCATGCCACGCCGCATTGAGGCAGTA